AATTATCTCGTTTGTTATTGACTATACGAAAATGTACATAATATATGTATAATTCAATATTTATACTTTGTCACTATTTTCCGCCTTAACTTGAAAAATATCGATCGCACGATAAAATTTGTAATGAAAGAAGTTGCAGAAAATCGCATTTGCAATAACTTAAGTTCTTACCATTTTTGTTGTAAAGTTGAAAATGGCCGAGATATTGAGCAAAAACAATTCCTTTGAGACCAACTCCTGCAAGATCCTACGCTCGCGTCTTTACCGCAAGCGTAGGACTTTAAATATTGGTAGTAGCGAAAAAATCAAAGAGATCAAAATTGTAGAAAATATAATTCTTTCCAACTTTGTTTATGTACATTTATGTCGTATAGTCAATAACAAACGAGATAATTCAATAATTATACTTGTCACTATTTTCCCCCTTAACTTGAAAAATATCGATCGCACGATAAAATTTGTAATAAAAGTAGTTGTAGGAAATCGCATTTGCAACAACTTAAGTCCTTACCATTTTTGTTGTAAAGTTGAAAATAGCCGAGATATTGAGCAAAAACGATTTTTCCTTAAATTCAAGATGGCGGCTGACGCAGGGGTGAAATTCAGTCGCGATTCTAAATTTACACTACTATTGACCCCCCTAAAGGTTAGAACAATAAGATTGTGGTCCCTATTTTTTTCCCGGTTAAGCCCTTTTTTTGTCTAACCCGACTGGAGTATAAACATATCGAATTTATCGAGATATTCTAGCATGACATCGAAAGTAGAAAACACTTTACAAGGTGTACAAATAAGAAAGGACGTTGACCATATCTCAGCAACAGTTAATCGCAGAGCGTTAAGGCAAAAAAATTAGTGAAAGTAGAAGTCGCTGGAATTTAAAAATTTGGAATAGGAAGAAATATTTTTCGTAGTTTAGTTGAAGGTTTGACAAAGGAATGAAAATATAAGTAAAACCGGCGTGTCAGTATTTTTCTTAGAACCGGAAAGGTAAGTAAAATTGTGAAATATACCTGCTCTATATTTTCGGATATTTTTCCCATTCATACATTTACAAAAAAATGCGGAAAGTTTCTTAGTTTATCAAAAACCGTCGCCTAACGGAGACGATAAAACCCAAAGTGATGTTACACATATAATAAACATCTAATTAAGTGAAATATTGTTTATTCTAATGAAATAAAGTTTGTTAATTTTTGGTTTAACTAAACCGAAGTTACATGGTTCAAATAAAGTCCTTCTATCTTCTCTTTATTTGGCGAGTTACATAAAAAAATGATGTAAAAATTATTCATAATTACTATGAAAATAGTTTAGGTTCGCATTATCTAAAATTGCATTCAGTTAGCAAATTTATCTCTATCTTTTAACTTCGGATTTATCTTTAAAAAATTAAAAGTATGTAAGAGAATGAAACCGTTGACTCAGTGACTTTTTACTTTTATTTTAAGACTTGGTTAACATTTAATTTATAATTAAAGTTTCTTAAACAAAGCGGAAATGTTCATGCGCATGATTGTCAATTTGCCATAGTATTGTTGTAAAAATTACTTCGTTCTGTTGGAAAAATTAACTATTCGACATTTTCTCGTAGTCGTAGTACGCAATTCGAAGTTCACTCTCTTTTCCAAATTCAAAAAGATCCCCACAAGGCACGGTTCCCACCAAAACAATAGGAATCCATAGACGACACATAATCGTAGATGACCTACTACGCAGATCGGAGGACGCAGGGCGGAAAACAACTTTTTCACCCATGTTTCGAAATGTTTTTTATTTTTCTAGTTTTTATTAGAACACCAATTTTAAACAGTAATAAGTCAACAAATAACCTAAAATACTACAAACTTACAATCTATCTACTTATTAATATTATCATTAACATTTATGGCCATAATTCGATATTTGAAGGAGCACCATCTGTAACAGAATCTATTTTGATACCTAATTCACTTAAAAATTTTATACAATTTTTTTTTAATAAATTAGCTTTTGCTCCACCACTTAAACCGTTTGTCAAGAAGGACCCAGCAGGTATTTTCCAATGACTATTTAAATTTATAGCTACAACCATAAAAACAAGGGCTTCCGTAGCTTTTGGAATATTATCCCCATATACTTCAGTGCCGACATCAACATATCCAGTGAATCGTTTCCCATTCCACTCAACACTTTGCATTATAGACGTTTCGTGAAATACCAAATTGCCCAAAATTTCACTGTTTGTTTCTCTTACTTTCATTTTAAAGCAGCCAATGCTTCATTTGTAAATCCAGGTGTACCATCTATAGATCTGTACCACTTAGAAATTGTTTTTGTATGTGGCAAAGACATGTTAAAACTTCTTCTTTCATAATTATAAGCATCTGTTGAATAAAATCTTAACGTTAAGGCAAACAACCTAAGCTCAGGTGAATACTTTTTACGAGATTGTAATTTTATTGATCTTTGACAGATTTCACCTAATATTCCAGGTGCTGATTCATATTCCTTTTTAAAAAATTTCAGAAAAGAATTAAGGCTACAAATTCTGGCTTTTAGACGACTCTTTGCCTGCTGCAGACTTCGGATCTTTATTGTTTGCATTTTTATTTTTTTCTTACAAATACTCCAATTTTTTCTTGCTCTTTTTGGACTATCCATGTCAGAAGTATGGCATTCTCCAAAATATCGTGGATAAGGCCTTTTCCTAAAAATCATGAATTATCTATTCCAGATGTATTTTATATAAACACTTACGGTAGTGTTTAAGAAAATAAAATGGTAATATATAAATAGGTAACAGGTAGAATTTTCTTGGTATTTTTTAAAATGTACTGAATAAAAGAAAATTTTAGATATGTAAGCAGACAGCAAAATTATAGGGTATTAGTTGTAGATACTATACAAAGGATATATAATTTGTTAATTATATTTTTATAACTTACTTCACGTTTATAATTTTATTACGATTGGGTGAATCTATTCCTATTTCTGATGCAGTTAATGTTGATCAATGTTTTGGTACGGCGTCACCAAATTTCAAACATATTTCAGAAAGATCTGTAGCCTTATTTGTAGTAGATAACAAGCCTGATTGAGCACTCAGTGTCGATGACGATGAACATGTGGATATATTTTCTGGTTTTTGTTGAGGCAAGTGCAATGACTGTTCCGTAAGAACATCATTTAGAGAAATATTTTCATTATTAGAACTGTCTGATCTATAAAAATTAAATAAAAAGGTAAAGAGATACTAGATAACTGTAAAGGCTTTTTTACTTGTATATTTTAATCAATATAAAAGTTATTTTACCTGCTATAAGTAGAAGCTATTATTGGAATAACTATCTCTCACAAGTACTTTATACCTGATGGCTTTGTCAGAAAATCATTAATCGCAAAATGATCAGAACAAACAAAAATGTTGTCGGTAATATTGACATGACCTAGGGAGAGCTTCCACAAATTTCTCCGTTCCAGATTCTTAGGAAATCTAAAAAATACAGGTATTACTCATAATATACTTATAATATAACTGAAATAGGAAAAAATAAGTTGAACAATTAAAAAATATATCTTTTTAATAATTTAGATAATGATTTAGTCAGTATTTTATCACTGCTAATTAAGTACTAAATGTAAAACACCCTTATGTCATCCCTCAAACGCCGCCCATGTTGCTTGTTTACTTACCTGTCAAAAGACCGCTGCTCGCCCATTTTAAATAAAACTACAAATAACACACTTTCTAACCATGTCTTAGCACTAAATAAATGTCCATACATAAAAACTACACAAAAATAAGAGGAAAATGCCACACTAAACACACATCGACAATCATCGAAATGCGGACGTAGGCGGGAATATTAATTTGACCAATAGAAATTTGTGTCTCCTGAAGATCTGATTTATTTATGTACATTCGCAAACAAATATATCCAAAGTTCCTTCTAGTGGTTACAATACGTTGGCGCTACACTTCTCCCACACACATCAGACTGCCTTGCGAAGCCATGCTGTTTAATAACCAGTGTTCGGAATCTGGCCAGTGCTCAAAGTACGCTCAACAAATAAACTCATAAACTTAAAGCATATTGCAAGTGGCACAAAATAGAGCGTGGACCATTATCCCAAGGCCAAGCAATTTCTTCATCAATGGTGGAAGATCGACAGCATCGACGTCATCTATCCCAAGCGTCCGTTGTGGTTGGCGTGAACGGGGAAACGCCTAAGCATCTTGGAAATCCCTTTGCAGACGAGTAGGCAACTAACCTCCTGCCACTGCAGGCAAAAAATGGAGTCCATTTTTGCTTGGAGCATATATAACTCTGTTAACATGCTGAGGGATAATGTTGATAGGCAAATCCAAACGGCCAATCAAAATCTACGACAATTTGAGTCGTTGTTTTTTATATGTTGAAATTCCGTAAACGATTTTTAACTGCGCGAGCGTAAATAATATTTTACAAGGTTCTGTATGAAAGATAACTTTATTACCTTAAATTTAAAAATAAAGTAGAAGCTTAAAGATAAATTTGCTGCCTGTACGCACCTTAAGTAAATAAAAAAAAAACGTGTTTTTAAAATTGACCATGTCTATTACACTTTTTTTGTAGCGAACTGAGGGACTCGAGCATAATTTCTAACTTTTATATGATATAGTTGACCTATTCCAGCCTGTGGTCCAGCAATGCCCCAACCATTCTGGGACACCCTGTATATCACAACAAGTTACCTAGCAAATGACATGTGGTGCGTAGCCAGCTTAATATGAAATATGTGCCACGCACCAAGAAAGGAGACAGTTTTTTGATCCCCATTGATTGTGATCCCATGGCCAAGCCAGCAGGCGTAGGAGAAAAACTACGTCACGACCGTAAAAAAGCAGTAGTTTTCCTTATATAGGGTCATTTTGTTATTAGTCACCAGTGGCTGGTGTCTGAAGTCTCGCTTTTGCGCGTGGGAATCACACCGCTCGACGGACCGCACACCATAAACAATGCGAGCGACAGTCTGGCAAAAGCTTTTGTGCGGTGTTTGTATCGAAACAATCCGACTGTCCCTTGTTTCCTGAAAAAGGTGGGCCTAACTTGTTTCCCAAATGCAGTGTATTGTAAATAGAACTATTGTTTATTTACAATTCTTAAATAATAAGTTGGATCCAAGGGGTAAAAATAATAATTTCATTATAAAAAATATAACATTTATGTAGGTACTAGTTTTAAATGACATTTAAAAGAGAGTATTTCTTTTATTTCTATAAAAATTTAAAAATTTCATTTGCACAAATTTTGCCATTTTCTAGGTAAGAGTGTTAGAAAACATATTACACGAGTTAAATAACATTATTTTGAACGAGATTTAAGTCTGTTTAAAATATTTCACAGATTTCTTCATTAATGTATTATGTATAATGTAATGACAGGTGAGTTACAAAAAAGTATCTTTTTGTCTTAACCAGTCAGTGCCTTTCAATGTGTTTAAAGAAACAAAAATATGTTTTTTTTGTTTTTTTGTCACTTGTAATTAGTAATTTTAATGTACCTACTGTGTAACTCAGTAGTTTTTGAAATAGATTTTTAAAAAATCAAAAGTTCACAAACTTTACAAGATGTATCTGGATATGTAATGATGAAACATACGAAGTTCCTGTTTCTAGAAATTTTTCGTCTCATTGTGGTTAAAGTAAAAAAACAATATGATCTTAAAGGATTGTTTGGTTTAGTATATTTTTATAACTATACTTACATAGAAATTATTTCATATTATCAGTAAATTGAAGTGAAAATTATCTATAATTTTTAGCAAAATTTGCACTAATACAAGTTTAGTTGGGAAATTTTACTCGTTTGTGTGAAGATTTGTCAAAAATTAGATACACTTATTTGGTGTTTGGAAAAGTTGGTACAAAATTTAATGAGGTGAAAGTACAGCCAAAAATAGTAAAAATAGTTCCTATAAACATTGGTCCTCCGGAGCACCGTTACTGCGATATGGCCCTCCAAAGGGGTCTTATCATTTGGATATTTTTTAAAATAACTTTCTTTCTGATTAAGATAATGGAATGAAAATAGGTAGGTAATAATCATACCATAAGGGTCTTTAACTTAATCATAAGTTTAATCGAAATCAGTTATAAATAAGGATAGAATTTTTTTTATTCCTTTGAATTATCAAGCAAATAATATTATTTTTTAATGAATTAGACTTTTTTGAAGAAAAAATGTCCTTACTTTTTTTCGAATTCTGCGTACTTTAGTCAGAAATAATTATTTTTTAAATAATGTATGGCTCAGAACATAGTAGGCATGGTGACAGTTTCGTTGTAATGATACTAATGATTGATACATTTCTTAGTTGTAATCTTTATGCTTGACTTTGCAATTCATTCGATTTTTTTACAACCATGAACCATCATGCTTTGACTAACCGTGAATATGCCGATATGTATTTTATTTATGGTTTCTGTAATGGAAATAGTCAGGGGGCTCAAAAAGAGTATGGGCAACGTTTCCCTGATAAAAGGCAACCTCTGCAAGATTGTTTGGGAAAATTCATGCAAGAACGATGGAATCAGGAGCCCTAACTCCAAGATATCGTGAATTTGGCCATCCAAGGAGGCGTAGGCATGATTTAGACCAGGGATGGCACAGACTTATAGGGAACAGGGGCCACTCGGGAAAAATATAAGCCAAGGATGGGCCACTACAAACAATATTTATTAACACAAAATTTTTTATTTTTAAATAGTATGAAATACAATGATAAAAATAAAATAACCTTCAAAAATGTTTGTTGTAATAATTATGTAATCAATACAATGTAATATTTCATGTTTCATTATTTTGATGCATGACATTGCATTGAACTAACAAGTTTTTTTATATTTGGCTCCACATTACTCGTAGCCACACGTATAATTGCTTCCAAATTTTCATTTGCCAGACGGTAATCTAGTTGATGCGACAGATTTCTAGTCTCGTAATAATATGCTTGGACCGGAGCGCGGCGAGTAGAATACTTTTAAAATTCGTTAGCGGCCCGCATAAACATAGACAGCGGGCCGCATGCGGCCCGCGGGCCGCGGTATGTGCATCCCTGATTTAGACGAAGTAATTTTAGGATTTTAACGTACTCCTGTGAGTGTAAGAAGAGCGTCTGCTTATGATGATTCATGGTTGTAAAAAAATCGAATGAAGTGCAAAGTCATGCACAAAGATCACAACTAAGAAGTTAAACAAACGTAAGAATTTAAACGATAGCACGGAAAAGTGACAATCATTAGTATCATTTCAACGAAACTGTCACCATGAAAGATATGTGAAAATGTTAAAAGTTATTGTTACTGTTCTGAGCCATACATTATTTAAAAAATAATTATTTATGACTAAACCACGCAGAATTCGAAAAAAAAAAATAGACATTTTTTCTTCAAAAAAGTCTAGTTCATTAAAAAAATAATATTATTTACTTGAGAATTCAAAGGAACAAAAAAAATATTTCTGTTAAGGGTAGTTAACTATCCTTATTTATAACCGATTTTGATGAAACTTACGATAGTTAAAGACCCTTATGGTATGATTATTACCTACAATTTTCATTCCATTATCTTAATCAGAAAGAAAGTTATTTTAAAAAATACTTAAATGATAAGATCCTTTTCGAGGGCCATATCTCACTAACGGTGCTCTGGAGGACCAATGTGGATAGGAACTTTCTTTTACTATTTTTGGCTCTATGTTCACCTCCTTAAATTTTCTATGAACTTTCCAAACACCCTGTATAATTTTCAATGCACGAATTATATTTTCTTGTTCAGATGATAATTTATGGGGTTTACATAAATAAATAAACAGGATACTGAATATAATTATAATTTTAATAAAAAAGTCAAATAATTTAATATTTCTTATCTTTAATATTTACATAACAGTAACAAGAGCAACGAAAAAAACAACGTAAATAAAGCAATAAATGGTAAATTTAAATTTGATTATAAATATTCGAAGTGCATACCATTATTATTTAAACACTTCTGCACTCGTTCATACATATTACTCTGAATAGTAGATTGAATCATGTCATAGTCCAGGGAAGTTAGGAAAAATAGCGGAAATTTTTAGGTGAAGCAGATATCGAGATGCGGTTTTCTGCATTGTGTTCAGGAAGGTCCCAGGAAAAAAGTCTATATCGTCTGGTTAAGCCATTTTTTGAAAAATGCCTTCTGGGCCGGAAAATGCATTTTCCAATTGCACCATTACTTGCACCTTTATAGGAACGACTGGAAACTCGGAAAAATCGCTCGGAAATCGTTACTCAGTGGTTTTCGGGGATGTCGAATTCAATTATGGCATTAGACTTCCCCGGGGGCGATCGGGGGTGGCTCTGTGGGAAATGGTAAAGGGGAAAGTGAAAAATCACAAATTATGAGAATAATACTTTATTCAAATAACAAATAGGAGTTTTTATTAATGTTGAATTATTCATTATAAACTTAAATTTTTCGGTCTCTCTCTTCAGTCGATACAGAATATTTCTGTTCGCGCCGGTCCCCGTGGTAATGGTGCAATTGGAAAATGCATTTTCCGGCCCAGAAGGCATTTTTCAAAAAATGGCTTAACCAGACGATATAGACTTTTTTCCTGGGACCTTCCTGAACACAATGCAGAAAACCGCATCTCGATATCTGCTTCACCTAAAAATTTCCGCTATTCCGGTCAATTTTGATCTAAATGCCATGGACTATCAAGAGGTATGGAATTTATCACTCTTGAAATATTTATTTTCAATTCTTCTTCATTGTCGTTTTGCCTTGTGTATAGCTGATTCTAAACGTAACTATAAAATTCATGATGTCAAATCACGACGTCTGGGCGGCTAAGTACCTTGACCACCACGTAATGGTATGCATTTCGAACATTTGTGATAAAATTTAAATTTGCCATTTATTGCTTTATCTACCTTGTTCTGTTCGTCGCTCTTGTTGTTACGTCAAAACGTACCTATTAAATATAAGAAATATTAAATTAATTTATAGAAAAAATTCAAATGCTTCAGATGGTAGAGATCTTTTAATATCTCATGAGCCGCGAAATGCGCGAAAGGCGTGGCATATCCCCATAATTCTTCTAATAAGCACGTTGTGAAAACATTGACTCAGAATTAGACCACGTGCCTCATTAAAACTAGAAATAAACTAAGGCGCTCGGGCATCAATAAAGTCAACTGGCGAACGTTCGTTATATATTTTTATTGTTTAAATTAAAATAATAAAGAATAGGGCATTTTATTATGATATTTGTAATCGGATCAAAGGGTTGTTTACGCTAGAGCTCGAGGGAGACTGTGAATAATAGGTGTAATGTTTTTAGGACGTAGAATAATTTAGGCGACGGTCGGAATTATGTTTCTGCGCATATGAAGGTCAAAGCTCATAAGATTTTAAAACATCTCTACTTCACTTTTTTTATTAAAATTATATTTATATTCAATATCCTGGTTACTTATGAAAACCTCATAAATCGTTGTAAAGAGAATTTCTCTTTCTTCTAATGAGGCAAAAATTCAATATAGCATCCATAAGAAAAACAAAAGTTAAGTACTGCTCAGTATACATTTTAGAGATACCTACGTTAATACAGACAGCAAGAATCTATTCCTCACATCATTTAATATCAGGCTACACATTTATTTTTGTCCTGAAATTTTGTAACTCCCAAAATAAGAAAGACACCTGTATAGGATAATTAAAAAGTTGCAACCCTGTATACACTGGTGGATATGTTTTAAATTTGCCTTATACAGGGTGTTTGTAAATAAGTGCGCAATATTTTAGGGGGTATGTATGTATTATGTATGTATGTCGGAGAATGGTGGAATTGTTTTTCCACCGCGGCACTTAGGCCTTATTAGGGCCTTTGTACACTCTCCTTCATTACTCGAGTACTTTTCTTCAAACCATCCTATTTACTACACGAGTGGCTTGGTGGTAAAGTCTCGTGCAGCTTATGATAGCATGGTCTTGAGTTACAGAGATTTTCTTTGCTCTGTTCTCATTACCATTTATCGGGGACCACACG